CATTAACCTGCTGGATCTGGGATATTTCTTATTAATCACAGGTGGCAGAGAGTTAACTGAGCATGAGGACGCCGTGTATGCAAAGAGATCCACACGGGGGGCAGGCTATAAAAAACACTCACACAAACATTTCTGTGTGCTTGAAATCCCATAATCATAGCATATTCCATTTAGCGGATGCTTTAACCTGATGAGTGATTCATTTTTAGCACCGCAAGACCCAGTGGGAGTCAAACTAAGTCTAATGGTGCAGTTGAGTTACCCACCCTCCCGCACACACACACACATCTCCATATCTAACAGAACATTGTGGGAATTGCCATGACCTAATGCATTTCTTATCTTTCGTTAGATTACACATTTTACAGTTCCTGGCCCAGTAGATACACTATATAGCAGTCCCAGATCCCCTTAATGACAGTAAAATGGAGCAAAATCTCTATCAGACTTTCTCATTTTCCCATGGCCAGCAATTGAGTAACAGAACCTATCACACACTTGAGTAATGTCGCTAATATTCAGCCACTGTTGCAGCCCTTTGCTTTGATCTAGCATTGGTGTGGGTGGTCAGTATTTACAACTCAAAAAGTCTTGAATTTGAGACTGGCAGCACACTGAAACTGACTCCGAAATAGTTTTGACTTTCCTGTTGTAACCCTGGGTGACTTTTTTGTGCCCAATGAGCCTTTTATGAGAAAATTGACAAAGTAAATATCCTATCAGCTTTTCAGCTGATGAATAATGTACACAGTGAGTGATGGAGTGCTTTAAAAAAAACTGCTTCAGGGTTGTCCCTGCACATCAGCTGTCATCTGTGATGCAGGTGGTGGCCCAGGCGTGGGGGCTTACGGCAGCACACAGGTGCCCTTTTCACTCCCAGGCCAAAAATGACAAATTCAATAAACTCAAGACATCTCTCCACTGCACCTATGGAATCAAACACACCTGACAGGCGGCTGAAGGGCTTCTTCCTAGTCTCTCTGACATCCCATCCTGACAACTTCTCAGTATCGATAACTTGTAGAATATCCGTCTTACTAGCATGCTTTCACACTGTGAGAAAAAAAAATAAGAATATGTGTCAGAGGTTGTGTGACTTGAGGTAAGACTGTGATGAGGAAACTGAATCTCTGAGATGACATTAACAGAGAGTGTCCCCTACTGTGTGTGTGTTTAAGCCCCAGAGCAGACAGACCTGGCTTGGGTTACCAGCCGTAATTCTGATGGTGAAAGGGCCACAATCAGCCTACTTAATCTCAAAGCTGTTCTTTAAACCCAAAGAAAGACGATCTGTCTCTATTCTACTGTACAAAATAAGCGAACATGTGATTCATCTTAAAATGGAAATGTACATGAAATTAAATTTGCCTTTAGGGGCAGGGAGGACAACCCGTGACTGCAGGTTTTTCTGTGATAACAAAAAAGGTACTTGTACTTCGTCAAAAGACCCTGTCTCATAAACCTACCCTGACCTCAAAGAACAAACCTAGACATCACATTTTAAGGAATTAGCATCACAATACCCTAAATGTCTCCCCTGTAGTAAAAGCCCAGTAAAATGGCCTTGCAATTTTAGTGGTGATGATAAACTGGGAGACGCAGATAGCAGGCTCACTGAGCGTGAGACAAACCCTTACTGTATGTTCATTAGCATCCGTGAAGGTTCCCATCTGACGAAGAGGGAAACGGAGTACAGTACTGAGGCCGTTCTGCAAGCATGAGTGTCTTATTAAAGAAAGGGCCAGGGAGCCTCAAATTTGGCGAGGCTGGTCCACGAAGAGCTCCCACCTGTTTGTCTGGGCGCTCCTTTGACACAATAGGTCATGAAATGCAATATGGGCCTGTGCCTCTCTTTCTCACAACACAAAAGGCAAGGAGTGGATGAACTGCAAGATAAATGACCTTGACATTTGGAAAGTCTCCAGATTTCTGCACTATAAAAATAAACCATGCAAAGAAAAACTCCAAAGCCTCATGAGCCCTGAGTAGAACTTACACATGGGCAGAAGTAAAAGAGCTGCCTTTCAGCGGATTAAAGTTTCTACTTAAACATCTTGATTGCTTCGCTAGCAGTGGCAGTGTAAAAAAGCAGTGGCAGAATGGAAAACCCAGAGCTAAAAAGTTGTGCTCCATGTTTGTACCTTCAATATGGAGGTGTTCCAAACAGCTGTGCACATGCTGCAGACAGCCTCCACTTTCCACAGGAAGTATGATGAGAACCACAGGAAGATAAAAACAGCCTGGAATGGCTTGAGGGAAATGACAACACAAATTAGACATTTACAAACATACCAGGAAACAGAAAAAACACCCTTTTGGGAAATTAGGGAGACAAACAGAAGCACATTAAACAGTCAGTGGCGTATTACTTATTAATGATTTAGATTTGCTTTTTTTTCATTTCTACATCAATATTTGTAGGTGAACATAGGGGTATGTTGTTATAGACGGTAGGCCTCTGAGCAGGTCAGTCACCTGAGTGACAGCATGGACAGGTGTGGAGGTGCATCCGGGGAGAGTGAACCGCGGCTGCCTTACTATTGTTCTCAGTGGGTCTTTGATCTCACGTAGGCCAGAACCTCAGTGGGGAGTCCAGGCTGGGCCCCAGGCTACGGTTTGTATCGACTCAGCAGGGCTGACAGCACAAAGCGGAAGTGGGTGTGGGCGGGTGGGGACTCCAGCTTCCTAAGATCGCCTATGTGCAGCTTCAACTTAGCCTGACCTACACACTGAAGGGCGGTTGAGGGTACAGGAAAGAGAAACAACAGCTATTAAACAGATTTCAGTCCAACCACAAATTAAGAGTCAAATATATATATTTTTTCTGACCTCTCATTTTACAATGAACGCATACATCAGATGATGCACAAAAACTTGCCATCAGCCATGGAGGTCATTCTTTTCTCTTCATGTTTTCCTGTTTTATCCACATTTATGTATTATGAAATAAAGATGTTTTCCAGGTAAAAATATAATTTCCATAATGACAACTGTGTTAAATATACACAAGTGTGCATGAAAAGATTTCTGACACAACCAGAAAACAAGTGAGTTTATTTTTGCAGTGTGACAGCTGTGCACACAGCCTTTACTTAAGCCAACCCTATAATGAACTTTCAAGTGTACAGTAAGTGGACAGGAGTGGCTTACAGCTAAAGAGAGTAATGTTTCTTTCCTGATGGTTCCCATCCTTGCCAGACTCTGCAGCAAAAAGTCATCAAGCCATTTAGCTTGAATAAGGAAAAATAAAAATAACCATGAAACTAAAATAAAAACAAAAACAAACATTAGATGTAAAATAAATCCAAATGTGTGTGTGTACATGACTTTGTGTCTAGCTGTAGAATGTGTGTTTACAGCATAATATTGTGTATATGTTCTCAGTAGCCTGAAAGCAAAGTCTCAATGTAGCGGCAGAGCAGTTGACTAGACTCACAGTAAATTGTGACAGTGAGCAGGGCAGACTGGGACAGCCCATCTTAGTCTTTAGCGATTGTGTTTCAGTGTGTTCGCCTGGCTCTCCCTGTGGTGCGGTGTGTTGTGGAGCAAAAAGCCACTGCTGGGAGCCACAGTGGAAGAGATCAATTGTACTCATTCCTGCCACCTGAGATTCAAGTGTTTCTGTAATACTGCACAGCTCAATCGATACTTAAGCAAGGAGCTGGGAACCAAGAGCACAGTCCATGCTTAGTGGTGGGATGACTCACACAGAGATAAAACATGTATTTACTCCTGTATATTTGTGCTCCCCAGCTGTGAGCAGTCTGCATGAAAAATAAGCCAAATGACTCATCAGGCCTTTATTTATTTATTTATTTATTGTGTTTCCATTATTTTATTATTCAAATATTTATAATTTTATGATTTAATTTTGCAGCACATATTTTAGTATTTATAATGTTATCATTTGGAAATTAATTTTTTTATGAAATCAATTAGATTATCATTTAGAATGTAATAATAATAATAATGATAATAATAATTTTCCTAAGTAGAAATACACCATATTTAAAATAGTACATGCAAACGAAGAATTTGTCATAATTAAGCAAGAATGTGGGAATGTTTTATTTTTCTTTTTGTTCTTTGAAGGAATCTCTCAGGAAGCCGATTTACTGCACAAACAGAGCTCAGGGGAACAGATGTGACTGTTAAAAAGAAAACAGGCACTGTGGGTAAGGATCATTTAGCTTCAACGTCTCGAAATCTAAAACGTAAATATTGGGGATTTCGGCTTTGTAAAGAGGAGGGGAGCGCGCCGAGGATGCTGGACAGAAATTAACAGATCCTGCATTGCAGGATGTGCAACGATGTGTTAAATTAAATGCAGCTGTTGAAATACAAAAGGGGAACATTTTTCACTTTGAATAAAAAATGCAACGCAAACGCCTTTAAAGTCGTCAACTGTATCCGGATAACCGAGCGATCGTCTTGACAACCTTCTTTGGAAAGCACTAACTAGCTCGTCGCTTTCTTAATACAAGTTCTATTTTCAACTGAAGACGAAGAAGAAGAAAAATAACGCCAACTGCGCATCGGACACCTCCTGCTTAACTATCTGCTCCGGACACACCATCCTTTTACCCGCTGCGACGCGCTTCTTTCTTTCTTTCTTTCTTTTTTTTTTAAACCCTTTGTAAATAAATTGCAGAAGGGGGCCTTTTCCTTTCCACGGATACGCTTTGAATTTATCCGATTCTGTGGAACAGTCATTAATTGGAGATCTGGAGAACTTGCTATAGAAACTACGATGTTCAAACAGTGTTCATTTTAAATTAAAGAGCAGGAAAACTCACACCATCAGCCCCCAAGCCTCCGTTTCTGTAGTTTGTGCACGGAAGTGTGGAGGCTGCACGTGAACACAAATTCTTTAAAAGAAACAAAAAGTTACTTATTTAATTTATTTTTTATTTCTGCTTTTTTCTTATGTATAGTTGTTAGTAAATGTAAAGAGACGGTATTTTTAAAATGAGGAAATAAAAGCACACAAACACACAATGTTTCTTTTGGAAAACTGATGTATTTGATTATTAGAGTAAAGAATTACAGTATCTTAGTTGTTAGTAGGTATTAAAGTGTAGAGAAACTGGACCCATAAAGATCTTCCAACTTTCCAAGAAAGTGCATGTAACAGTCCGAAGGTTGTCAAACCCGATATATATTTATACTTATAAAAACACTATCATTTTGTCCCCTGGCCGTGATGGACTTCTTGTGAGAGCTTTATGTACATTTTCTTGCAAGGGAGCTTGTATTTCCACATCTGAACATATTTACAGAAGCTTCAACACATAACTTTGCACTTGATGTCAGTGAGGATGCTGGGACATAGCAGCAATGTGGAAATCCAGCTCAGATACTAAAAGTGATCCTTCCAATTTGATTAGCTGTCTCAGTTCCAAAATCCAGGAAACAGGCCAGACTGAATGTTCCTCTATTTGTAACCGTCTTGCTCTCAACAACAATAAAATATGAGCAACAGAAGATAGAAGAAAAAAAATGGAAGTAAACAAAAAAGTAGAAAGTACAATACACAGAGACTGTAACGAGAAAACAAATTAACACTAAATAAACCCTTGAAATGTAGCAAACTTCAATGTTTTGTCTTCCTTAAATAAGATAAAGGTAAATAATAATCGGAAAGAAAGGAACTACAACATCATTTAGTCCCTTGCCTGAATTTCATTGTTTTGTCTTGATGAGGCGGGGTGGGGGGGATTCATGAACACACAGATGTTAGACCATCTACAGAAGATCAGTGTACATTATTTACAGCAAGTCTGTTCGCTTATTACAGGGCTAATGCATCACATGAACATAGACAGTTCAATTATAGCTACTACAGACAGAAAATAACTTAATGCCAAGGTAAGGTTATCTAACCAGATATTCTAAGTTTCAAAAGCACATTTTTAAAGCACCCATTGTGGCTTTAAAATAAACAAAACCTAATTGTTAATGCTTCCACTTGGTTTCAAGCAAGGTTATAATCACTAATAAATAAGCTCCTTAAAACTATAACATGTACATTGTACAAAAAAAGCAACTTGTCTTCACACTCATGTTCGTAAAGATTCAATGGCGAGCAAAGCAGTTCAGCTGATTTTATCCCTGTCTTGTTCTCTTCCTCTGTCTGTGTCTACATATGTGTACAGTATGCCTTTAGGCATCTTTATGTGTCTGTGCCCAGTTGAGGACATATACTAATTGGTGGCAATTTCTTTATTGTCCTCCATGAAGCGTGTGAACCGGAAGTGGGCCCCATTCTCTGTGTTGGCCATTTTCTCCAGACCAGCCAGAGCAGCATTGGGCTCCGTGTTGTGTAGCTTATCAAGGCTGCCTGTCAGGCCACCTATGGGAGAGCTGCCCCCATTTCCGACACCACCTGACATGGGTGGGATGCCTCCGTTCTGGATGACAGAGATTTCATTTGTCTTCATTGCGAGACCATTGGAGAAGGCCGCAGCATACTGATTCCAGAAACTGGTCGGGTCTCCGTTGCTTGCCCTTGATGCCATGTCCTTCTGGAAGATCTCGGGAAACTTGACTGGGTTGGTGCCAAGGAAGGCCATCGGGCCATCTACGGAGAGCCTGCGGCCACGTCTGGCAGGAGCGCTGTTCCACATGTGGGTGCCCATGTGAACCTACACAGACGGAGAGGGAGAAGAACAAAAGAGAGGAGGTGAGAGACAGAGCAATGAGCGGGATGAAAACTAGTGATGTTTACAAACTTGGCCACAAGAGCTGCACATGAGATGATGCAATGGAAAAAATAATAATAATGCTTGAGTGTGAATTAAAATAGCTTCACACCCTGAGTGCAGCAGATCAGTTAGCTGCCTATGCTATGAGAAGTACAAACACTGTGTAAACATCTTTTGGCAAGACTGATACATGCTGTTTAATCTGAACTTTAATTTGCTCATCTCACAAGGGGACCACACGGCTGAAGCAAAAATTGCACTGTCCAGTTTCATTGCCCCAGCCAGTATTACATGTGACATTTCACCTCTGCCCATACCCTTTCTAAGAACAAGACAACATTCTGCTTGGACATGTTTGAAACACTGCTCCAAAATAATTGTATTTTAATGTGGCTCATATACAATAGTTTACACAAAGTTTATGAGCCTTTTTTTAAATAAACCATACCACTGTGAGATATCGCTGTATGTCTAGTATCATCCAACAGCCTGAGCTTGATTCTTAAATCTTTTAGAAATAAAAAAAAAAACAAACAAACAAGAAAAAAACATATGCCCTTATTTCTCCACTAGGAATTGGAGATTGAGACATTCAAAAATAACTAACATAATTGTAAATTAAGGTCACATAATCCCCCAAAATCCTAAAGATCACTAAGCAGATCTTTTTCTTGATGATTTAAGCCTGTGACATTTTTTACAGAATCTGTTATGGAAAAATACAGACTCACTTAGCTCACAGTGATTATACCAGATAATTAATTATGTGCACTGGATCATTCTTAGCTGATCACATGCTGGAATTTCTCTCCAATAATTATATTACATGCATGATTCAGCTTTTCCATTTTTTTCCCTCTAAGAGCAGTTCCTTTCATTAATTATACCACATTACCACATCTTGATGCCTAATGCACTGACATGCCATATAAAATTAAATAGTAACCCTGAGACTCGTTTTTCATGAACATTCTCACGCACATACTTTTAGGAGGCCAATAGTTTGCTGGGTGTTTCGACATTTACCTTGAGGTTTCCTTTGGTGGTAAAAGCTCGGCCGCAGATGCTGCAGGCAAAGGGTTTCTCCCCTGTGTGGGTTCTCTCGTGGATCTGCAGAGCACTGGCGGAGGAGAAACACTTTGCGCAGGTATTGCAGAAGTGTTGCTTGGGAGTCCTGCGTGGTGGAGCAGTGGAAAGCACTGGGGATGTTGAGGCAGATGATGTGACCAAGCCAGGGGGTACCTCCTTGTTTTCCGGATGAAGGTTATGAAGGAAACCATTGACTTCTGGTTTGCTTAGAGAACCGACAGATAGAAGAGAAGGAGTTGGGCTGGAGGACAGGCTGGTATTTGATGGCTCAAATAGCTGTGAGGGCAAGTCTCGCATTTGATGTGTTAGCATATGCTGCTTGAGATTGCCCTTGGTGGAGAAACCCCTGTTACATGCCGTGCAAATAAATGGTCTTTCTTTGGTATGGCTTCGATAGTGAATGTCCAAGGCACTCTGACAAGCAAAGGTCTTCCCACAGATGTCACAGGATGTATTCTTGATGGTGCTACGCTCACGGAAGGGGAAAATCATGCCCAAAGGGTCTTTTGGTGAACTGACAGATGTCAGGTCCAGGGCTCCAAGGTTGGAGGGATGTGAGTGCAAGAGGCTTATACTGGTGGGGTCTGAAGATAAGGCCCTTTGGTGCCTTTCTTCGAGGCTCGGGGATTTGTGTGGTTGTGGCTGCATGCTAGTGGGTGATGGCGCCTGCATGGAGGAGGTAGATTCTGACACCGCTGGACTCCCGGCGCTTTGGCTTTCAACATCACCTCCCAGAGATGAGGAGTCATTGGTGAGACAGTCACCTTCAATTAAGCCATTTACAATAGCCTTCATCTGGATCACATTATGTTCCTGCATTTCATTATTATATTCTTGGCCATTCCTCTCTTGCCCTTCCTGGGTAGCCATTTCAGGGGGAGCTGGGGAGTTACATAGACTGTCATGGGAAGCATCAGCAGATCTGGGTGTATCTGGCACACTGCTGTCTGGACCCTCTTCCATTCCTTCAGTGTTGTCATCAGAAAAGTTGTCAAGATCATCAAAGTTTCTCTCTTCAAATGAGCCAGTATCAGAAGCCATGGACTCTGGATAACTCTCTGGCAGAGGGGTGTTGGGGATCTGCCCACCCATATGCATACGGATATGTTGCTGTAGAACGACAGCATTCGTGAACTTCTTCTGACAAATGGGACAGGAGTGTTGAACTCTAAGAGGAGGCATGGCCCTATGAACACTGTAGTGGGTTTTAAGATTTCCCTTGGTGGTAAATGCCCTGCCACAGATTTTACACTTGAAGGGCCGTTCCCCAGTGTGAGTGCGATAGTGCATTTTCAGTGCACTTTGGCAGCTCAGCACCCGGTGGCAAATGACACATTCATTTGGGTCTTTCACCTTTCTATCAATGTTCTCCACAAGTTGTTGTAACTTGGATGTCTCCGATCCCTGGAGAGGATCCAGAATGCCTACAAAAGGGAACTTAGCCTTGAACTGATCAGACATAAGGGGCATGAGTGGGTTGGTCATCATGGGTGGGCTGGTAGAAGTCGTATACTCTGCAATGCTTTCTGATGCACAACTCACATTTGTCATGAGACCCAAAGTCTTGCTGCCTTCGTCGGTTTTTCCATTTGAGGTAGGCAGTGTTGCACCTTCACCCTCTTCAGATACACCATCATTACTTTTAGCTGAAGGCTCAGTGGCACCTGAGTCACTCTTTGCAGTAACAGAAGGACTAGTTATGGCTATTGAATGATCTTCCTTTTTGATGAAATGTGGCAGGCTTGGCATGGTTGGTGGTAGCAGCATGCCGACTGATGATGTCAGAGTAGGCAAAACTGGTTTACTGTCAAGCCAGCTGGTCACAGGTTTCTCAGGTGGTATAGACATGCCGTATGGAATGCCAGTGCTTGTTGGTATGTTGTCTAAATGCTCAGGAACAGGGTAAGGGTTCATCTGGATATGAGGGTATTTTTCTTTATGACGCTGAAAATGCACCTTCAGGTTACCACGAGTGGAGAACCGGTTGCCACAGATATTACACTTGTAGGGTCTCTCACCAGTATGTGAGCGCAGGTGAATTTGCAAGGCACTGTCGCTCCCAAACACCTTGCCACAAAACCTGCACTTATGTTTGAAGAAAGCATCATCAGAGCTGCTCTTATGCTCAAATGAACTGACATTTGGCGGCTTGTCTTTTCTCTGCTGGGCCAAAGCTGCTAAAGAGTTGAGGTCCTCTACAGTGGTGCCAACACTGGACAGAGAACTGGAGAACATGGGATTTCCAGGTGGGGGTTGAGGTAGAAGGGGATTCACGGGCGAGCTTAACAAGCTACCTATTCCAAATGCTGGCGTCGATGACTTTGCTAGTGAGGAGCTGCTTAGTTGAGAATGAAGGCTACTCATATGAGTGGGCCTTTTGTCAGAGGATTGGGGATTGATTGTTGATGGCCCCAGTGTGGTAATGCTCTGAGATGTCTCACTGCTGCTTGGGTTGGACTGAGGTAGCTGTGCTGCTGCAGCCAGCTGCTTTATGCTGCTAATACTGGCCGACTGGCTGGCCAGGTTCTGTGCTAGGCCTGCGGCTGCCGCCAGCTGTTGAGAGAGATGTGAGCTGAGTGTGGTCAGGGGGCTGGCAGCTGGCCCCATTGTGCCGGGAGCAGAAGTTGGAGGTACCTGTATTTCTGGTGATTGGGAGGCTAGTAGCAGTATCTGATGGCGAATCTGTTCAATAAGCTGAAGCTGGTGGATCTGTTGCTGTTGCAGGGCTAAGAGCTGCTCCATTAGTGCTGGCACGGCCACCCTTGGTCCTCCAGTCGAACGGGCTTCTTGGGAGAATTGGGCCACAGCCACTTTGGTGCTCTGCAGATTTTCAATTATGACATTGCTGTTGATCATGGAGAAGTTCCCCAGTTCAGTTAGGTTACTGAGCTGAGGTAGTGAGGCAGAGATAGCTGAAGTACCTACTGCGGGGCCAGAGGTGCCTCTATCAGCATGGCTGCTGACTGTATTAATGGGGCTTCCGCTCTCTGTATGACTGCCGTCCTCTTCGTGACCACTGCTCATTCCGGAAACGTCCACGTCCATGGATTCGTCTTTTTCAAGAGTGTTAGGCTCCAAAAGGTCACTGCCCTCTGTTTGATCAGTGTTATTAGCTGTGTCATTCATCTGGTCATCGGGATTATGAGGAGGAGACCCAGGCGAGAAAGTTCCGACAGGGGAGGCAGGATTTTCATTCACTATCAGAACTAACTGATTCTTAGTGCAATTCTTCTGGTGTTCCTCAAGATCTGATAGTTCAAAGAACTCAGCACAACATCTGCTACAGACATGGGCGTCTGACTCCTTGCAGGGGGGGTCCTCGGAGCAAAGTTCTGTGTCCCCTGAAAAAGAGGAAACAGAGGATTAGCGATTAGAAATGTTTTGCAGCTGAAGAAGCAGATTTATCTTCTTGAATTCAATTGTTGTTAATCTTAAGTTAATCAGTTTTAACACCGATCCTTCTGATGTGTTCACAAAAAAAAGATTGAAAGGCAACAGTAAGCTGGCAGAAATGAGGAAAGACCTTATTCAATGTAGTGGCCTCTGAAACATGATAAGAGGGGATACAAAATCAATGGGAACTACTCAAATATTGGTTAAAAGTGATCTTTGAAGATGTACATCTGGGTTTCATCAGGCCAACCAAAGGTAATCATTTTCTCTAGATAATCCATCAAAATATAGAATAGAGTGAAGTCAGGATCATTGGGTCTTAATGAAATTTCATAGAAAAGCATTGATTTCCTATATTCCATGCCCTTCAAAGTCTACTTGTCCACTCGGTGCAAATCAAGCATTTGAAGGACTTATTAGACTTTCAATTTGCTGTCAACTTTGCTCATTTTCAGCCAACTACAGGCATCTTGGACAGGTTATCTATGTCACTAAACTAATTTGTATCCACTCAGCCTGCAATCACAGTGAGACAAGAACAACAGAGCCTGTGGCACCACATCTACTGCATATACACAAGAAAGCAAAAACAAAGAGGAAGAAATTCAAGAAAGAAGTTTAAGGTAAACAGTTACTCAGTTGATAACCAAAAAACATGAAACAAATCTGCCATCTACTACAAGAATAAAACTATTTATTATTCTTAAGACTTTTGTTTAAGTATTGTCCAATAAACCCAAAAGTTAAATCCAAGAAAGGACAGTTATCGGTGAATTCATTTAAGGAAAAAAAATGCCTGAAAGGGATTAAATAAATAAATAAATACTTGGTCAACGCTAAAGAGCAGTGTGGCATATGAGAACGCATGCATCACAAACTTGCCAAAACTAAGAAGGCAGACACACCAGTTCATAGAACAAGCATAACAGAAACTTCTCTTGTTACTTAGACAAAAATTCTAAAGTAACGACCACATTCCAAATGCGCACTGAAACAGGTTTTGAAATTTTCCATTTTAATAAACAGGACGAGTCAGGGAATGAAAAGGCAAGACGACACCCTGCCCCCAGAGCCACTGCTGTGCTCCAGACTTTCCTTATTCATTTCCCTCTTTGTCACACTAAAATCTCGCTATTTAGCATACAAGTTGATTTACAAATTGCATTTCTCTATGAATCCCTTTCATTGTGCCTCTGGCCCCTCAACACTTTCATCAGGGCCAAGAATTCATTTGCAAATGAAACCCAGAGAAGTGCAGCCCTGCCCCACAGAGAGACAGGATGCCTTCCCATTGTTCACACAGCATGGGAGCGGCGGGGATCGTCGGCACAGCCTGGCCCTGCTCATCTCAGTCGACTCAAAGCAGATCCTGTTTAATTCAGGGATTATCTCCCTCAATGTTTCTCCGCTCAGAGACATCAGATAACGCAAAGTTGCCATGACAGTAAACCCCGGCCCTCACACCACCAAACCATGCAAACAGGGAAGACTCAACTTTAATGATAACTTTTCATGTTAAATCC